CTCTGTCGAGGCGATTTCTGCCGAGTCATGGGTGCACGTCGCGCGATGCACGGCACCGCGATGCAGCCGCGGTCGTGTGTGCGTGTTTCGGTCCCCAGCCGCGGCTCCTCGTCTTGCGCGTCCACGAAAGAAGAGAGCGAGAAAGAGAGAGAGAGAGAGAGAGAAAGAGAGAGAGAGAGGGAGGGGAGGGAGAGAGCTCAAACTGGCAGGTAACTACCGCTCTTCTGCTTTTACCTTGAAGAGGCCGACGGTAGGGGATGGGATGCATCTCCCGTAGGGATGTACGCCGGGGGCGGGACGCGCCGGGGAAAGGTGTATATACGGGCGGGCAGGGAGGGAAGGCGGAGGACCCGTTGCACTGACCGGGCTTTGAACCCGCTACGTAGTAAACAACAGGTACGTTGCACCCGTACCGCAATTTGTAAGAGCCCGAGAGCGCACGAACGAAGACTCTCTCTCTGCATCTCGCTCTCTGTCCCCTCGTCGCCTTATCTCTATCTTTCCCTCCTTTGAGGAGTCGCGCCGTCCGAAAATAATGCCGAAAACAACTTGGAGTAACGGCCCACGGGGGCTACCTCCCCGCCCAGCCTGCTGCACCACGAATTTCTCGTTTCCTGCCCGATTCGGGCGGATTGGGAATAATAAACCCGGATTGGCCGGGTGTATCGGCTCCTGGGTGTACGGGAATCGGGATCGCCGTCGCGGAACGAGACGGTGATTTCGAGTGGAGCTCGCCGAGCTTGGACTGGGTCAGAGTTCCGCGGGCGAACGCGGGACTCGTTTGCTGAATTAATCGCTCGAAACTGGACGTTTGCCGCGTGCAGGCGCGTAAATGTATTCGTCTCATTGATATTCATAAGTGAAAGAAGAGACATTTATTATCTCGCGAAAAAGCGGTATCTCTTGGACAAACTGTCGCGTCTCCCCGCGAGATATTATATTTTTGTCTGTTAGTTTTATTTCCGGCACTTGTTAATTTTGCTATTTTCGCATTACACCCGCAGCCCGCGCTCATCTATCAGAAAGCGAACTATCGGCGTCGAACGAGGCCAGGCGGTATCTGCGCATAGCGCGGCAACTTCCGGTTCGCAAGATTCTACCGAGCCTCGATAATTGCGACTTTGTAGGTTGTTAATAGTATAATGTGTTAATTTGCTATTTTAGCAAACGCTTTCCGTCGCATAAAGCAACGCCTCGCGACGTTATTAAATGCAATTGTTCGTTGTCGCCTTTTAATTCGAACGAGAGTCCTCTCTGTAAATGTACCAAACTAGTTCGCTAAAAGAACGCAGAATGATTACGTGCTGAACTAATCTAGAAACTCCGTCGGTCGACTTATCGTTACAACGCCGGTTTCTCAGCGATAAAGTTTCGTAATTTGTAACAGAAGAAAACTAATTATTACGAGAATTAACTCGCAGATTTCACTACGTTTGATTTCAGTTAGACAATTGTTCGCTACTCGCAAAGTAATTTTTAATCGACATAAGATTCTAATACAACACCGCGAGAGTCAAGAGCTGCCAGTTTTACCGACACATTTAGTTCTTCCAGTCGCCACCGCGGGCGCGAATGTTGCGGAACAATTTTTTTTCCGAAGGAAACTGTCGAACTATAAATATTTTAATAAAAATGAGAGAAAAACTCGCGTCACTGAGAGAATAATAGTTCCAGAGAAAGGATCGTCCGATACTTACTTCGTCAAATCCGCTTTAAATACGTCGTCGCGTTTCAAACGAGATATTCGCGTTCTTTTGTCGGAATCCATAAAATGTGAACTCGTTAAGAAAATGCATCATCTACTTGTGACTATTATCAACGTAATTAATCTGCAGCGTATCTAAACGCGTGCCATTCCTCCTCTCTCTTGCAAAATCCCCAGTTTAAGCGCTTGCAAATTGCAGGAAGATCCAAATTACCAGTCAAGGCTCTTTCGAGGACTCTCTAGGCCTTAGCAACAGTCGGATCAAATGCACTACTTGCACTTGGATATATGCCGCGGCGACGCGATAATCATCTTAGAACCGTCCGGGCAATTTTAGAACGGTTCACCGCCGAACGCTCGAATTTATCTTGCCGTAATCCTTTCTAATTCTAATCGTCCGCGCTACGGAATCCCGCACAATGAACCGGAAGTCCCGTGCGTTTGCCAGGGGGGCGGGTCCACTGCGGGCACGGTCCACCACGGGCGCCTCCTAATCCGTGTGTATGCGTGCGTGTAAAATTTAACGTCCTTTTTTTTTTACTCTATACTCTTATTCGCGAACTGGAATATAATAATGAATCACCGTAGCGACAAGTAAAAAGGATCGCTCCGACCAACCGCCCATTAATTTCCCATTACGGGAGATGCAGCCGAGTGCACGCTGCAATTTCCGCGCATTTTTGCGGGTGTCCACCACCGAACCGTCCAGCTTTACGCACCGATTCCCGCGGTGAAGATTCGGCAACGGAACTGCCGTTTCCGATGGAAATTAGGCACTCGCCAATCGTCCCGCGCGCATCTATAAGTTGATTCAACGAGATACGAAATCTATGTGGATATTCTTTTTATGTCATCAGCACGTATTAGCATACAATTTTATATTATCGCGTTCTTTACAACATCCATCGATAAATTCTAGAAATTGAATTGGAACTAAAAGTTTTGTCAAGGACATTTATTTCTGAAATTGTGTAAAAAAAAATACGAATTATTGGTAAAGTAATTTTTTACCATAATCCGAGCACGATTATACTTTCATTGAGAGAAAGCAGGTTGGCGGGACCTGTCTCCGCTTCATTCAGGAATCGGCGGCGACATGTGAGCGTATCGTCTAAAAATATTGCCGGTGGGCCGAGTCTGAGGTGCGCCTAGCAACAGAGATTGCATAGAAGCATAGGCTACAGTGAACGCGCGTGTTTCTACGTGCCGCAACGAGGACACGGGACACGAAAAAAAAAAACGAAAGAAACTGCGGAGATAGACGTCGCGGCCCGCGTGCTATCCTCTCGCCCACGATTTCGACAATTAACAAAGATTAAGCCTTGTACGTTGTCTTCTCCATTCACGTTTAAAGTCTGATGACGCGGATGACATTGAAAGAATTGATCCTTTGTGACAAATTGCCTTTGTGACTTTCCAAGTTCGCATTTCAGAGAGGCCACCGTTGAACTATAAATATACGTACATATAAATACATAAATCTTCAATTTAAATTTATTGAAACCAACGTTGGTTTCCTGTAGAAGTCAAATCAATGGTTGTCGCAACAATTATTGCCGTTCTGCAATATTGTGTAGACGTGGTTACCGCGTAACGTAACGTACGTCCGCGCTGTTATCAAAATCGGAGAAAAGTTTCGATCGGACCACGTGATCAATTTCAGAAAGATTGTAAAACTCGACCGCTATTGATATGCAAATGAATCATCCAATTAGGATCGCGCACTGGATATATCGTATGCGATATCGTGCAGGATATTTTGCATCAATGGCGTGCATTAATTTACTTGCAAATTCAGCGACGCGAGGTGCAACCTGGCTTACATTTTATGATACTTGTACTGCCGTTTCAGTCCTCGCAAACGATATCGCGACGATATTTCGAACCCACTAATTGTATTCGCGACGTAACTGTAATATAAATCGTAATTTATGCAAGCGATACTTATTAGTTGGATTATAAATAGTGGTGTTAAAATTTTATGTGTGTAAAATATAAAAAAAGATTCAATTCATGTTCTATAAATATCTGTCTTAAATATGTTTGAAAAAAATTAAAAATGTTGACGGGCAACGATGATGTTGCATCTTTAGTAAACCACTATTCTAATACTTTCATCTTAATAATAAAATATTTAAAAAAATTCAACATACATTTTCTATAAATATACTGTCTTAAATATGTTATAAAAAGAAAATTAAAAATGTTATGACGTGCAACTTCGAAGACGTTGCATCTTTAGTAAAACACTACTCTAATCCTAGATTAGTAGGAAAATTAATTCAACGTACATTTTCTATAAATACTGTCTTAAATATATTATAAAAGAAACTTAGAAATGTTGAGACGTGCAACTTCGAAGATGTTGCATCTTTAGTAAAACGCTACTCTAATTCTGGATTAGTAGTAAAAAAATTCAAGATACTTTTCTATAAATATACTGTCGTAAACGTATTATAAAAATAAAAGTAGAAATGGTGAGACGTGCAACTTTGAAGGCGTTGCATCTTTAGTAATATACGACTCGTAACAGCTAATCTTAGATTAGCAGCAAGTTTTTAAAATTCAAGGCAGAGTAATGTACTTTAACGGAAGTCCTTAAGTTGCGCGAGTCGTTGTTATCGCGGTTCCGCGGAGAATGCAGAGTATCGTCGATGCGCAATCCCTAATTTTACACGGTTTATACGATACGATGTTGTATTATTGGCATCGTTAGCCAGATTCTCTGCGCGCATCTTGTCAGACGAATTCGACCGTTACGACCGCAAAATTGGCTTCTGGGCAGCGGCTAAAGGAACGTGAAGGTGAAACGAAATCACTTACCAGCAAAGCCTCGCGAGCACCTGTCTTGGACTGCCGGGAACGAGATCTCGCAGAGTATACTTCCAGTTGCGCGGTTACACCTGCCAGGGTTTTCCTCCATCGTTGAACTCTGTAAAGCTTTTTGTACCGCGTTGTGCAAAATTATGAAGGAACGTATAGGTTTTATTATCCAGATTTTTTCCGTTTTACAATTCGAGAAACACTCTTAAGTTTATATCCTTAAGATACCGCGATAAAGAAAGGATTCGAAGAGAATGTAGCGGAACCGGTTTGCATAATCAGCCACGATAATTTTTGATAAAAAGCGATATTCGATAACTTATGTAACGAGACCCGAGAATATTTTTAAACCGTGTGCTCGAAAAAAAAACTCGCGTTTTCAACGAAACACTGTGAAAAGTGGCAATAATTTCCAAAAGATATGCGAACAAGGATGCGATAAAGCTGGAAGAGAAAATGATAAATCTTTACATATAGATAGATCTTTTTTTAATAAACAAATGGGGTCACAATTCTCTTATGCTAGTTAGTTAGTTTTTTTAGACTCTCTTATAGTTACAGCTTTTATATATATAATATAATATTGTCGTTACACATATATAATTTTATATCGCCAAGTGTCGACTGAAAGTGAAGCGTGATTCACTAGGTGGCCTCTCTTCTGTTTTATCTCTCTCTCTCATCCTTCATTCTGCGGCACGCACACACTCTCATACATATATCACATGCACGCACGCACGCAAATATCGGAAATCGTTCTATATCCTTTATACTCTACGACACAACACCTTTCAGGTGTCCGTCACAATTTCTCGCTATCGCCATAGACATACATAAACTAATTATTACAGATAAGAAGTACACGCTAAGTTATGTTTACTGAGATCATACTAATACATCACAGGGTTACATAAACATTAGATTTTTCTCTCTTTACTATTTTTTTTTGTAGTTTTCTCCACGACAGGCACCACGCGTCCCGACTTTCTCAGATCTTACGAGATTCCAAGATTCCCAAGTTCTGTGTGTTTCTTATCCAGCGGTGACACCGTGCGGTATAAAGTACCTTCGATCATTTTTATTTAATTTTGCGGTACGTCAATAAAAACGGAAAATATTTTCACTAAAACTTGAAGCTGTCATCACGATCCTGTCTTCATTGAGAAAAATTTCAATCGGAAAAATTCTGTACACCACAGTGACATCGCCGGATTAACTTCACTCATTTGTCCCTCACCGACTTGCTGCGCTGATGCCGAAATCGCGAGGTGCCGCATCTGTCATGAACGTAATAATCAATGATAGTTTACTTTCAACCGATCCAACCGCTATTTTGTGAATTTTGTGAAACTCTGGACTTTCCGTTCCGCGCGGAAGAAAACGAACATTGCGATCAATGCGTACACTTGAGATTGGATTTATCGTTTGCAATTTTTTTTTCGACGCTTCTCTCCCACATGCTCGGATGTTACGGGCGGACTTTGAAAAAATAGTTTGTAACCACCAGTCGTATTTTTTGGGTTATAATCTCAAAAAGGGAAATGGCGAACAGGAAAACGTTTCAGGAAGAGCAAGTTACGATAGGATATCTGACGAGGATCGCGTTATAGGGTATTAACAAACAGAAAGTCGTATGATAAACATAGCTACCATTACGAAACTCGACTATTAAGAACGTGCAACCGAGCAATCGAATTGGTTTCTGGTTTTTAAAGGAGCACCAAACTATCGAGTCTACTTGGATGAAATTTCGCCAAGTTGGAGACATGGCCCTCAAAATGCGCGAGTTTATTCGAAGTAGACACAGTCGATAGATTTTCTCCTCACAACCGTCGAAAGCTTCGATTTTTCCTTTGAACATGTTTAACAGTTCTTCATATTCGTCGACAACTCAATTAACATACAATTAGATAGTTTACGCTAATATTTTGTGCTTCGTAAATTCGTCGTTGGCCAACGAAATAAATTCGCTCGCTTCACTATTTGCACTGAAATCCTTCTACGCTGTGAAATGCTTTATTCTTGGTCTCAATGATGCCTGTCAAAGAAAATGCTTCTTCTCGTAATCACTCAATTATGAGAATAAAAATTCGCAAGCCATTAGCCTCTTGTTAGATAGTTGAAGATTGATTTCCGGTGCGCACACTATTTCTTTTGTTTTCCTTTTCATTTATATGTATACTGGAAAGAGCATTATTACTGAAAGAAGCTCGCCTCCTCTTAAAACGTATACATTGTGCGACTAACAAAAGGTTAATGCCATTGTGATTAATTTAATATTCCTGACGAAGATATCAGAATATCATCGAGTATACATATACTTTTTAAGATTAGATATTAAGATAAATCTCTAAAAAAAACTCTACTAGTTTTACGTTTAATCAAACATAGACGTTTAAAGTTGTGGATTTTTATGTAAGGCTGTTACATTTGTCTAAATCAATTGAAACGCGGAAAAGCATAGCTGAAAAAGCAGTGTCTAAGTAAATTTTCGAGAGAATATCGCGGCAAAACCGAAGAATCCAATTTAACCGAAAGTGAAAATGTTTAAAAGAAAGTAAAAGAAATGGGGATAATGTAAAAGAGGCAACCGAATTATGTTCTTTCCACAAAAGCTTTACGACGATTACGTGTCCCCTGCCATTATCTGCCGGAAACAAATGCGATACGGGGCGAAGAAGGGGAAAAGGGAGAAAGGAGATGAACGAATCTTCTTTTTTTTTCTGCGTTTAATAGGTAGAGAAGAAAAAATCACGGGGTGATTTGGCATCGGCTGTACTTTCTTAAATTCGTACAGGAGATCAATGCTTAATCTTGGGTAACGAACTACAGCTAAATCCATATATTTCTCTTCTTCCTTAAAACTGGTCGCATTCACTGGCCACGGAATCGCAACCGCTTTCTCTCTCCCTCTCTCTTTTGCACTTATCCTCTTCGGGGTTTTTGCAAAACCGAGGAAAAAAATATTCCGATTCGTTTGAGAACTCCAAACAAAGGCTCGCGTGAGAAACTTTTCAATAATTCGAAATCGCTTCGATATCGCACACGTTTCAAAGCCACGGCGTCGAAACCGGCGCGATATCTCCGCCCCACCGTTTTCAAATAGACCTTTAATATCTTCACAGCTTTAGCGAAAGAATTTTTATCACCGGGTTAGAACGCGGCAATCGCGAGTACCGAAATTCCATGGACCAGACTCAAGCGTCCCCTTCAATTAGATCCAATGAATACGCGCGATATACTCTGTTCTATATCTTAATGTCTAATCAACTAATCCCTATGAGAATAGCCTATACAAACTTGCATGTATTTCTTAGCTTCACTCACGCGCGCGCACACACACTCACCCTTTCTCACATAACGTATTTGTGTAACGACGTTGTTTAAACATTTTTCTAAGAACGTTTCAGAAACAAACAAAGAATATATTACATTAATTAATTTGGACACAAATCAATATTCCTTTATCTACAATCTAATTATTTATATTCTCCTTAGTGTTACTTACTCTATAGTCTAATACAGAAAAAGATGTGACACATATCATAAAAAAATAACGACGAGAGTCGTATTCTCTTTTCCCCACCAAGCGTCTTTCGTTTCTCTCTTCGTTTCTCTGTCTTGAACCTCCGTCTCTCCCACATCCTCTCTTGATCGTTGCTGCTATTCTCGTAATCCTCGCGGTATTACAAAGCGATATGACGGATGAAGATATACGTGATGGAGAACGGCGTTTACACTTTCAGTGTCTAGATTTTTTTCTTTTTCTCCCTTTTCCTCGCTTTTATTCGTTTATTTCCGTCTGTTTTCGCCTGCGCTCATGGCGGATAAAACTATATGTGAATGGCACAGCCAACGCGGACCTCGCGCCTCCTGTCCGAGTCCCTTGCCCTCTTCTCTCCCCGTTACTCCACGCGGGCGGTGTGCAGCTTCCCACTTCCGGTACTGTCCCGCGTCGCGTACGAACGAGGTGGAAGAGGACGGCCAAGTTGGATCGAGGAAGCTGAAGGCTTTTAGCTGCGTATCTGACCCGCGTTGCGAGCGATCTTCTCCGGCGGCTCTATCATGCTCTTTGCGGTGCCGTTCAGGCCGCGCTTACGACTCTTCATATAGTCTGGAACAGACAATGAAAAAAACCATGTCTTAACACAACCGTAGGCGACAGACTCGTCGAAGAGACGATTGAGTGGAGTCCAAAGAGGGACTCGTACGGGCAACGTTTAATTAATTTCTAACACGAGGGTCTGCCGACTCGCCGAAGCGCGTCAATACGTTTTCTGTCCATTTCTACCAGTGCAGATTAATTTCAATCTCGATTCGACTTACTTTTCATCTTTTTCTAGTTCTAAGAATTAGAAAAAGATAAAATGTAAAGTTAAGCCGAGGTTAAAGTTAATCTACGTTGGCAGAAGTGGACATTAGTCGCACGACGCATCCCATAAGCTTCACAATAAGCTCGTAAAATTAGAACGATTTTCTACAAGCATCGATATCATTTCTTATATATGCAGCTCTTTGATATTTATTTATATTTATCAATGTAAATACATTGCACCTGGAGCGAGTCAGAGTGTCTCGGAAGGCATCTGGCGAGCGGCGTAAGCAATTCGCCGGCTTATCGTCGGCTTTGATTTCTCATAATCGCATGCAACGCCACACTTGACCTCACGTACAATCCGGCTTATTCCCGGCCGCGTATGCATGCAAAACCTTTCCTCCCCGATAACCCGCGGAATATTATATCGCACCGTACCCGCTAATTATATCGGGAGATAAGAGCGCGAGGTCAGGATTTTATATTGTTTTTATTGCACCCTCGAGCGCAGTTGCAGCTTTCGGACAAATATTTTCGTTACCGCGAAACGAGTATCGAATTAGGCTCGTGCGATTAAAAGTGTTCAAGAAGTGGGAAACGACCGGGGGCCCGAAAGATATAGCAGACGCGACATTTGGCATTTTTTTTAAATATATAAAATTTCACCTTCTTTACTCGTGAACATTCACGCGGGTCGCTACGAGCTTCGAATGCAAATAATTGTCGAGAGGAAGCTCGCTGATCGTGACTCATAAATCGATACCGCAGGCGCGATGCACCCCAGAGGTACAAAGGCACCCCTTTGGGATACCATTTGGCGAGGTTACCACGCGATGAAAATACGCGCATCTGTCCAATTCTCTAGCCCCCCCCCCCGCCCACTCTCGTGCTATTGTTGGATCGTCTGCCGAGCCACGTGACAAAAATTATAAAAGTTGCAGGGACAGTCCTCTGACGTTGTCCTCACTTTAAAACGAATCCGAAGTTATTTAGAATATTTGATACGGACGTTTCGATGCACATTCATTTATTATTATTACGTTTACATCGTATCCGTTTGTTCGTTCCAGCCGGCAAACGCGAACTGGTCGAGATTCGAGGGTCGCCGAGCGAGAAGCCGGGGGCGGCCGCGCGACAGGGGAGAGATTTTACAATTGCCTCTCCGTGCGCGACACGCTTTAAATATCCGCGACGAGATATGCGGGCGCAAATCCTGATTTTAAATGCCGATCCTCTCGCAACGATCCCCCGGTCCGCCGCCCCTGGGGTCCGTAGACAGGGGCACGCGATTGCGTGCACAGCTGATGCCCCTCCCCCCCGCCTCGCCGCCCCACGCGTGCAAACACTCGACGTACACGCGTCACACGCACGGGTCACAAGGGGGCCCCGAAACGGGGGGGAGAGAGAGAGGACAGGCATGGGGGTGCGGCGCGCTCGGGGGGCCGGCAACCCCATATGGATTTCAACAGCTGACCGCGCGGCTCATTAATAAAGTACGTTAGGAATATATCGTTCGGGGCGCCCCCATAGGCCGCCGGCGTCCCGTAAAGCCGAAATACGTTACGAACTCGTTACTTCCCCGAGCGAATTAAGTGGCGCAGATAGGAGAGCCCAATCCCATTCAGTGTACACGTGTGCACACGATGCCCCGGAAGTCGCGCACTTCCTCCCAGATAGCGAACGACGAAGTGAGAAAAACGGCCTGCTCGAACCGTTCCGAGTTTTCGCGCGAGGGAAACGACCTCGCTCGACTCTACGCGTCCTCGAAAGAAATATCACCTCCGAGCTCGAGTGTCTGTCTGATAATTTGCTCATTTGAAAATCCGAGTAAATAAAGACGGTGCTTGGAGCTCTCGACACAAGGCGACTGATTTTTTAATATCCGAGTCTCCCGCGATCCCACGCGCGTCGACTAGCGGTTGCGAGGAGTAGCGCGACGATTGAGAGATTGATGATCGGGATCTGGGATTAATACCGGGGTTTGAAGGTACTTGGAATTAACATATAGGTCTGTATTCTGAACCCACTCTTATCAATACAAGCGCATCTGAAAGTGATCGACAAGTCTTCCGATTGGCCACTTTTAGAGACGCTTTTATCGATAAGAGAGGATTCAGAATACTGGCCTTGGTCTTGTGTTCGAAGAGGCATCGAAGTAAAAAAAAAAATGTGGCGCGTCGCTGAAGGAAACGGGCGCTTTTCCGCCGATCTGCAGCTCCGCTTCTCTCGCGGTGCAGTAAAAATATAAACAAAGGCGTCGCGTGCTGGCGCAACGTGAAATGTTGTTTACACGCGTGTACACGCGTGCGCGGCACATGACGAGTCACGTCCAGGAATAGCCGCGTCGCGTGGGTGGCGTGCACGGCCGAATAATAAATGAAAGAAGAAAGAACCGTGGGGGTTTTACAACCTCGATAGGATGACTGCGCTGCGACGCGTGCGTAAATTGAAGTATCGTCGAAATATTCGAAATCGTATGCGACTCCACGATAATAATTCACATAAATTTATAGTAAATCTGTGTAGCGCGGCAGCATCTTTTCCAAGCGTTACTCTTGCCCCTGTTATTTCTCTACGTTCAAATTCAATTGTTGCGATTACGAAGATTCACCGCTTGACGCTATTCGTATTAATTTATAGAGAAAAGCCTCATATTCTAAGATAGGATCCCAATATAGGATAGCGGG